TTATTAGATACACTTAATGTTAAAAATTTAAATATGGAAGAAAAGGATTCAATTCATAAAATTTGTGCAAAATATGCCGATGTGTTTCTCTTAGAAAACGATCAAGTTACGGTAACTAACCTAGCTACAGTAGATATAAGGTTAAAGAGCGATGCTCGTCCTGTTTACGTCAAACCATACCGATTACCACATGCTCAAAAATCAGAAGTGAATAATCAAGTAGACCGCATGCTTAAAGATGGAATAATAGAGGAAAGTAAATCCGAGTGGTCTTCACCCTTATTAATTGTTCCAAAAAATTCTGGTGTCGAAGGTAACACCCAATGGCGAATAGTAATAGATTACCGCCAACTAAACAAACAAATTGAGGACGACAAATTTCCCTTGCCTAATATAACAGATATCTATGACGCCCTTGGTTCCGCAAAATATTTTACGCACTTAGATTTATCACAGGGATTTTATCAGGTGGAGTTAGAACCATCTAGTAGAACATTTACTGCCTTCACTACAGCGAAAGGTCAATTTCAAATGAAGAGATTGCCTATGGGGTTAAAAATTAGTCCCAGCGCATTTTCACGTATAATGACAATTGCATTATCTGGTTTAAACTATGAATCATGTTTTGTTTATCTCGATGACGTTATAGTATTTGGAAACACCTTAGAAAATCACAATCGAAATTTAGTAAAAATTTTACAACGATTCAGGGAGGTTAATTTGAAATTAAATCCATTAAAATGTGAATTTTTAAGAAAGGAAATAGTAGGTATACTTGGGTCACATGATTACACCTAAGGGAATTTCTCCTGATCCTAGTAAATTGGAAGCTATTCAAAATTATCCTGTACCAAAAAATGCAGACGAAACTAAGCGATTTGTTGCTTTCGCTAATTATTATCGTAAGTTCATTCCAAATTTCGCCAAAATTGCAACTCCATTAAATCGATTAACCAGGAAGTCTACTACATTTATTTGGGACGCATCTTGCCAGACCGCATTTGATAATTTAAAGCAAAAATTAATGGAACCGTCAATTTTAGAATTTCCAGATTTTTCTCCGGGAAATGAATTTATTTTAAAAACCGACGCTAGCGGATATGCAGTAGGTGCAATTTTATGTAATGGTAATCATAAGCCCGTTGCTTACGCCAGCAGAGCATTGAACCAAGCGGAAATCAATTACTCCACCATAGAAAAGGAGCTTCTAGCCATTGTTTGGAGTGTAAAGCATTTCAGACCTTATTTATTTGGTCGCAAATTTCACATTTTCACCGACCACCGTCCTCTAATATATTTATTTGGTGCAAACAATCCTTCATCCAGATTAACAAAGTTTAGACTTATACTTGAAGACTACCAATTCACGATTAATTACGTTAGGGGTGCCGAAAACTCAACAGCCGACGCGTTATCAAGAATAAAACTTGAATCATCAGATCTCACGAAGTTTTCAAAAAACATATTCGCAGTAACTAGATCCCAAACTAAGAATAAGTTGCAGAAGACTGAATCGAAGGTAACTTTTAATGATGAAGCTAATGAACGGATTGGCCAGCCGGTCATTGTCGAATTATTAAAACGACCCCGAGATGCAGTAGAGTTAAGAGCGATTAGTCGCAAAGAAGAAAATATAAATTTGAGTAGGTACGTGCGCAGGTTAGGTAAAGTATTTTATGACATAAAAAATGAAGTAATGTATATAAAGCAATTTTGTTTATCATCTCATGCCCTAGACGCAGAGTTGAGACATTTGCAAATATTAAGTATAGAAAATGGTATACCACAATTTTGTGTTTTTAAGGTTCCAGAAAATGAAGCGCTTCTCACCGAATTAGGTAAAAATGTAGAATTACTCAAACAATTGAACCTTAAAGTATGTGTTATAAGCCGCGCAGTACGAATCGATTGCAAAGAAACCCAACAATTAATTTTAAACGATTATCACGTTCTTCCAACGGGAGGTCATGCTGGTATTAACCGCATGTACGCAAATATTAAAAAATTTTACTATTGGAGTAACTTAAGAGATGATATTGTTAAATTTATTCAAAAGTGTGATAACTGTCAACGTTATAAACATTCCATTCCTCATAAAGAACCACTAACGATCACAACTACAGCTTCGGAAGCATTTCAAAAAGTTTATTTAGACTTAGTAGGTCCGTTAAATCAAGATGTCGATAACAATCGCTACATTCTCACAGTCCAGTGCGAATTAACTAAATTTGTGGAAGCATACGCAATAGAAAATAAAGAGGCAAAAACAGTAGCTCAGGCGTTTACCAACAATTTCATATTGAGATACGAGATTCCGCGAGAAATCGCAACAGATCAAGGCACGGAATTTTTGGCAAAAGCATTCAAAGAAGCCGCCAAACTTCTAGGTATTAATCAAATTTCTTCCACGGTGTACCATCACGAAACAATAGGTTCTTTGGAAAATACTCACAAAAATTTAAATGCCTACTTGCGAATTCAAACATCAAAATTTCAAGATGATTGGGCAAAATGGCTACCATTCTGGAGTTTCGCATTTAACAATTCCATTCACACTGAAACCAAATACAGCCCGTACGAGTTAGTTTTTGGAAAACAATGCAAATTACCACATGATGTATTAGGACGTATTGATCCTTTGTATAATTTTGATAATTACGCTCATGAGTTAAAGTTTAGATTGCAAACTGCATGGAGCGATGCGAAAAATAATCTACTACAATCCAAAACTAAAAGGAAAAATAGGTTAGATGTAAATTGTCGTAGTGTTACTTATAGATTTAATGATAAGGTATTATTAAGAAACGAAATCGGAAATAAATTTGACGAAGTTTATACCGGACCTTATAAAGTAATACGAGAGGACCCTCCAAATGTGACTTTGAAAATCAAAAATAGTTTAGTGCAAGTGCATAAAAACAGAGTGAAAAGTTATTTTAGTGATTAAAAAACCGTGTAAAGAATGCATTCGGAAAACGGATATTTGAAAATAGTGTTAAGTTAGCTCAATTCTTGTAATTATAACTAGGTAGGTAGGTATAGTGTATAAGTTAGAGGTAAATGAATCATGTAACAATAGTAGGTATGTAATCGTAGTCGTTCACATTTATGATGTAGGTCACTATGCCATTTATAATAAGCATTATACTTAGTCGGAAAATTTTAATTCAATAGGAATCAAAATTTTCTTTAGGAAAAGGAAAGGTGTAATGAATTAATACGGTCATGACGTCCAACGTTGTGACGTCATATATGATCGGTTGATTAGTACTTATACTTAGTAGTAAAGTAGTCATGATAGCACCGCGAAACGCACTTCTTGTGCGTATTGTGTGCTCCTAAATAATGTTATAGTAAATTAGGTATAAATGTGTGAGTTTTATTTATTTAATTTTCCCTGAGACCAGACATTATTACAATTTCACATTGCACTTCTATCTTTGAAGCTTCTGTTACAATTTTCTGATTATCTCTCCACAGCTTTCTTGCTCGGCACTTTTTTAAAACCATCTTCGCGATCTTTCAGAAGTATGGTTAATTGAGAATTTCTCCGTTCTGGATTTTTCCCTGTCTTCTGAAGACATTACGAAAATCGACGCCTTAGGAACGGACCAACGAGTGGTTACCTTCGACGAGTAAGTTTAAGTTTGCCATAAAACTGGTTGTATTTGTGTGTTTTTAGAGTTCGAAGTCATAGGTTTTATCCATTCTCCGATGATTATTAGATGAATGCTGATGCATCAAAGTGCAAATCTCTGTACACGTTCTCGCATTAAAAATGTACAACAATGATAGTATTGAAATCCTTTACCTTCTTCCCATTTTCTTCGTAAATTAAACAACCTCGGTCTTTTCCGGGTTAACCGAAAGATCATGGCTATATTGCACCACCTATCAACTTGTTCAAGAGCCCCCTGTTAAACGCACCCTCGATATCTAAAAACGTCCGTGTAAGAATATTGGAATGAATGTAGATTTTTAGAAGGAACGATGATAGGCTGATGGGTCTGTAATCCTTCGACATGTCATATTTTATCCAAGTTAGTAAGAGAAGCGGAGACCAATTTTAGTGGAGCTTCCTAGGTTTTCATTGCACTAATCCGATATTTTACTTAATGCATTCAAAGTGAAACGCTAACAATTTATTTATGGGAGAAGTGAGAAAAAGGAATTCATCAATGACCAAACAACGACCCAAGCATAAATCGATTAATTTAACGTTTCTTCTCAGGTTCTTCTCTTAAAATTCTTCTCACAAGATTTACCACCGAGTGCCGCTTATTTTACACCCAGGGAAATGATTGATTCAACGTGAAGACTAAGAACTTCAAAAACTTCAAAAACAATAAAAAGCGATTAGACTTTCTAGTGCTTTCAATAGTTTCTCAAGTACTTATGAAGTTCTGTAAAACATTAGAAGCACTAGAAGGCTTTTCAGTCATTCGAAGTTTGAAATGTTTCGGGAGGTACCAGGGGAACATAATGATCGGTGGGTTTATTCTCAAAGTGTTGCAGGAGAATTGTGGGAATGTGCTTCTAATTCTTCTGTTCTTCTAATTCTAAATTCTGTCTAAAAACACTAGCAATAGAAATATCAGTTCCGGTTCCGACATGCAGTTGCTTCATAGTAGTAAAGTGATGTGAAACATCGAAGCCGGCGAACTATTGTCTTTAGATCAGAGGAAGCAAAGTTGACAGCATAAAAATTAAGAATTCAACTCTACCTTTTGGCTCTCAGATCCACGAGGTATCGGAAAAACCAAACCAAAATTAGTCACACTTCGTTCGATGGACACCACCGTAAATTTGTTATATGCGAACTTGGATGACGCCAAATTCTCGAAAGAACTCGCAAAAGTATTTCCCTTTCTAATTTGGGCGAGCACTCGATGGGCGCGTGGGCGAAAGCACCATCTCAGCATTCTGTTCGAGCGCGTTTCGACAAATTACAAAAATACTCGCACAATTAAACTTGCCCAATATAAATAGCCGCGCATTGTAAACACGAAATTCCCGAGAAAAAAGAGATCTAAGCACACGCGCCGGTAATGCGGGTGAATATTTATAAGCGCCTCATAAATCTGCACACAATACCCGATATTCTCCATTTGTGATTCTCCGGTCACGGTTGACGTAAGGTTATGAACGTAATCGCTAATGTTTTAATCGTTATTGGCACCTGCCAGGTATGGAATTTTGACTGACTTGTCGCCCTTTCACGGTCCGATTTCAGGGATACTCGCTGCCCAGAGGCGGGGAAACCAATGACGTTGAGCCCGTAAGTATTCTTCAGGAGAGATGGTTCAAGCAACCGCTGAACCACTTCGATAACTCGGACACGCGCACATTTCAAACTGTAAGTTTTCACCGAATTAGCAAAACGGCTACGGAATCATGCTTTCAGCGTTACTTCGAAGATTCCGGCCACTATTCCAACGGAGGGCCCCTGGTTTTGGAAGTGGGCGGTGAAGGCCACCTCGACCCGAACGTTCTAAGACTGGGGCAGAGCTATGAGTTCTCCAAGGAGGTCGGTGGACGGTTTCTCGCCTTGGAGCACCGGTACTACGGCAAAAGTTCGCCCTTTACGTAAGCGTGCAGTGAGGAGGGCGATATTGCATGGGAGTTTTGCAGGAACTTGACCGCCGAAAATTTGAGGTACCTCTCCGTGGCGCAAACCTTGGAGGACTTGGCCAATTTCGTTGATACCATCCGAAAGTCTGCACCTAAGAACTGCAAGGTGGTTGCGTTTGGCTGCTCGTACTCGGCCTCTTTGGCGACGTGGTTCAGATATAAATATCCACATTTGGTAGACGCGGTTTGGGCGAGCAGCGCCCCGTTGCGAGCCGTTTCCGACTTCTACGGTAATGGCACAGGTTTTGACGACAATATTTTAAGTTTCGTTTTAGAGTACCTGGAGGTCGCTGGCGAGGTATACTCGAATGTCAGCGGAATCTGTTACAACAAAATCCGCGACGGTTACACTGAAATAAAACGGCGGCTCTCAACGCCTTCGGGTCGAGAAGAAGTGGTGAAGGCCCTCGAGTAGGTTCAACCCCAATTCGCATGGTCTAATTCGACATTTCCAGGAACTGGAGCTGCGGCGATCCGGCCGAAATGAACAACAGTGTTATTTTGAGCAACATCAGATACGTAGTCGCCGATCACAATATTCCACCGGATCACGGCATCAGCAGCTGTCACATTTTTCAAAACGTCACGAACGCCTTTCAAGCCATGATACTCTTCCTCAAGGCGAAATCGGCCGAGGTCTGCTCGGAGGAAGACACCTCCTACCCAAACGACGGTAAGTTTCCCTACAAAATGAAGCTAACTTACTCTTTCATCTAAGAAGTGGCATGGACCTACCAAACCTGTACGGAATTTGGATTCAGCATAACGCTGAGTTCGCCCAAGCAACCATTCCACGACTCCCTCTCGGTAATCGACAGCGATCTGAAGAGTTGCTCGACGGAATTCGGAGAGCAGTAAGCCACCGAAGGCGACTTTAAGAAATTTACCGGAAGTTTCCCTTAGGTTCAACAAAGAGCTGTTGAAGAAAGGTATCGATCGAATTAACCGACGGTACGCGTCGCAAGACATCGACGTGACGAAGGTGCTGAGCGTCCACGGTGCCCAGGATCCGTGGCATAAGCTGGGACTTTACCAAGAGCGCAACGGCGAGGCGCCCGTTATCGTAATTCCCGGTAGGTTCACCGTGCAGTGAAGACGATCACTATATCACGTTTTTAGGGGTCTCGCACTGTGCCGACCAGCTTTCACAAGACGGCGAACCTCCTCAGCTTGTAGAGGCCCGTGGGAGGGCGAAGTCGATCGTCAAACAATGGCTGAAATAATTATAAAGTTTTTTTTAAATATAAATCGCCTGTTATGGCCGTGATGTTCGCGCGTTTGTAGCCATTAGACCTCTATCTTAAAAATTGCGCAGCGATAAAATATCAAATCTTCGCTGGAACGGGATTTGCGATTATCTTACGCTACACTTTGCAGAAACACAAAAGGTCGACTCTCTTGACCTATAACGAATGGTCCCTGACCCTGGCACTCACTTTTATAATAATAAAAAACGTTTTCCTGGTAGCCAGTAAACATTTATCACACGTTAATCAAGTACTTCGTGAAATAAGAACAGGCACATTATATTCTCCTGTTTAGCAGCAAATGGTGTATGGGAACCTTAGAAAAAGACCTCATGTATTATGTTTCGGCAGGCCATTTCTGAAAATAGTTTGGTGTAATTTGGAAACAAAAATTGAAATGACACCGATAAACGGTAAATGGTATGACCTTATATGGATCTCACGGTGTCCCAAAAGAGTGTGTCCTGTGGGTCAAACTACTTTATAAAGCATGCATACGCGATTTTGCCATTTAATGTGTAAGAATATGTGTACCAAATTTAGTTCCAATTGATTTAACGCTCCGTGAAAGAAAATTGATAGCGGCACCATAGTGTAAAATTACAAAGCGATAATATTTAAACAAGAATTACGCATTTACAAACAAATCACAAACACTGAATTTTGTATTCACTCTGTTCTTATTTCGTAAATAAATCCCGAGATTTACTTCATGAATTGAAATGATTATCATATACCTTGTCAGTATTTTTGGTGTACGCAGACTTGTTACAAAAGAAATGGCGACCTTGCACATCTGGCACATTGTAGAGCCCGTTCATGGCCTTAGTGTCTTTTCTTTGCCGACCTTGCATTCATATCCTGAATTTCGCCCACCATAAGTTGTGAAGTTATAATGCGTTTGAATAGCGTTGAGCCTTATCCACCCGTTTTTTCAGCCTCGCGAAGAGTTATACTGTTTTTTCGGGTAAATTCGCTCATTCTCTCTTGTATTTAATCTCCGACCTTCTCTATTTTTCAGGAAATCTATTATTATCAAACTACCTGTTTGATTTCTACGGCCCTATCTGTCTTTATCAATAGGGACAGTCGTTTACGTTTGTAGCGAAAAAGGGGCGCGTTTCAAATGGAGCCTTAGATCATAAGTACATGGACTGCTAATTGTAACTAAAATATGGTAAATTCATACCCATAAAAAACATAAGCATTTCCAATGCTAAAAGTGCCAAATATAGGTAAAACGAATTTTCGGATTGGAAACGCGAGTTTTGTATGGGTATGAATTTACCAGGTTTACCGAGTAGAAAAGAAGTGTTGATTGTACCGTACTCGACTGCAATCGGTAGATTCAGGAAAAGTCGCGAATACTGACGATACGGTACGGTTTTGTTAATTCCAATTTAAAATTCTCGCACATCGCCCGTGATAGTATTACAAGCATGTTACGACCCCGCTTACTATTCAGAAAGTTTACGTTTGCGAAACGAGCGAGCTTGCGAGCGAGCGGAGCAAGATTATTCCTGGTGAATAAGGATTATTTATGGCTTTATGTTTATAGGTTATACGGTTATCATTTCCAATGTCTCCGATGGTTGCAAGGATTGCGAAATCTGTGACTTTTTTTATTGCAAATGTGGCATTTATGGAGTATATTAATGCGAAATTTAGCCTCAATTTCGCACGGAGTAGATTTAGACGTCCTCCGAGCAGATCAAGAAACTGATCCAGAGCTGAGAACGACCCTGCAATCAAATTCAAGGCATACGGCAGGGAATTTAAAGACAATTAATCGCATTAATTTGTCCAGCTGTAACATAAGCGGAGACCCCGGCGTAACCCCGACCAAATCTCACACAACAGACTTCTCAATCAAAAGTTATAGTCACCAAAATTTCTCGGGAAAACACTTTTTTTTATTAATTTGGGTGCGTAGAATCTAAATCAATTCATACTTTTTCGATCAGACTTCTCAATCAAAAGTTATAGACTAAAAACCAATTTCGAAAAAAATTCAAAGGGCTGTAACTTTTGAATTAGTAGCCCAATCTTGGAACTGTTTCAAATTATGGATTCTACAGGCCACATTCTATAAGAAAATTTTTTTCCGAGTCGATCTGAGACAATTTTTTCTTCGGGGCTCAAAAAAAGGCGTGTATAACCTTTAAATCCTTATAAATTTGGTGCGTAGAATCCAAATCAATTCGTACTTTTTCAATCAGACTTCTCAATCAAAAGGACTAAAAACCAATTTCGAAAAAAAATTCAAAGGGCTGTAACTTTTGAACTAGTAGCCCAATCTTGGAACTGGTTGAAATTATGGATTCTACAGGCCACATTCTATGATTTTTTAACGTAGTAGATATATGTATGACGATAGCAATAAAATGTATGTATGTACTCGTAATAAAGCATTGCCTATTTTAAGGAGTAACGTATTATTTATAGTATTTTACATTATTAGCCAGGTAAGTGAGTTTTTACTGGCGATAGAAGTTGACTGGCGAGCCGTTAGGCGAGCTTGTCATCTCCTAGAGCCAGTAAAAACTATTACCTGGCGTATAATGTACAATATTTTATTTGTTACTCATTTGTAAACGTAAAGTTCTTAAATTGATCTTGAAGAAATGTCTAAAATATCATGTTATCCATGTAACAGAGACTTCGTAATTCTGGCCAATGAAATTACTAGATTACTAACTTGTACAATTTTTACAGGTCTGCTGTCAGTTTTACAAGTCTGCTGTCAGTTTTACAAGTCAGTAGCGTTTAAACATGACGTTTACCCGTTTGCGTTTTGTCTTGTTAATCAACGTTTACAACTGAGTAACAAATAAAATTATTTACAATATTGAACAATTCAGTTTTTGTGACAGGCAGCAAATAGAACGAATTTGGTGATGTTGGGATAACTTTCGTAGTTTCGTATGTTGGAGGTATGTTTTTTCTACATTCATGCGCAACGGAAACAAAATAGTCATTGAAAATATTAGCTACGTGTTCAGAATTAATAATAACCTTGCCATTTTGGTTTAAAGAAATAGATGTAGTTTTTTTTGTTTGTGTATTTAGGTTTTTATTTATAATTTGCCACGTGGATTTTATTTTGTTTCTCGAATTCATTATAATTCTTTTAGTTTGCATTTTTTGCTTGTGCAATAACTTTTTTAAATATTTTATTGTAGCGCTTGAAGTGATCAGTGACATTTGATTGAGGATTGTTTCGCATATTTATGTAAAGCTTCCGCTTTACCTTACTAGGGTTTTCTTTCCAAGGTAATGTTGTAAACAATTAAAACATATACCTAGGTTGAATAATTTTAAAGAAATGACTGGTGAACTGATCTACGTTGTGTATGGTGTATAGGGTCCAGTCAATCCTTTGTAGGTGGTGTTTAAATGAATTTAAATTAGTTTGATTGATAACACGTCTCCACAAGTATAGACTAGGTTTTATTCTATTAGTTTTCATAATGAATATTTGGGCGTTATGATGCATAAAATTAAAGTTTTATGCTTTTGAACAATATATAGGGCTTCTTCTAAATTTTCTAGAAAAATGCATTGATTACGATCCGGCCTGTATAAAGATAATATTGTTATTGAGTGATTCGCTAATTGATTTCCACATATTTCAAAATTCATTTCCACCGACAAGTCTCGTATTTCGCCAATGGTTTCAAACTGAATGCCCTTCTTTATGAATATCACTGTACCGCCATGATTATTGTGGGATCGACAAAAATAATCCACAATTACATAGTTGTCGTTGTCGATCGTTAATTGCAACAACTGTTCCTCTCTCAGCCAATGCTCGTCAATACATAATATGTCAACATTACCAAAATATTGAAGTAGTAGCAGAAGGCTGTCCGTTTTATTCTTTATACTTTGAATATTTAAGTAACCGCACGTTTGTGATTATGATTAGTATCTATTAACGCCACCGACCCAGTGGCAACTCTATTGATTACATGATATAATTTTTGATTAAGCTTGTAAATGATTCCGTTTACTGACTGTGTATCATAGCGATATGGAATCGTGCAAAATAACAATTTAGTATGTTGGCATTTATTAATGATGCTTAGAATCTCGTTGACACTAGGATACAGACCGGAATTGTCTACGTCATTTGAACCTGCTAGTATTACAACAAAATCTTTTTTAGTGTATGTTTTTGTTAGCGCCAGAATGTCTTGCGTTACATGGTGAAGCTTTCCATTGGGTTTGAAAATTGATTCTATGGTAAAATCTTTATTTAGAGAACTATCTACCAACAATTTTGCTAAATTCCTGCCATGGCTGTCCGCTAACAGTAGAATCTTATTTTTAGGATTAGTACATGTAAAGTAAACAACGAGGGTCACACTTGCATCCAGACTGGCCACAAAAAAAAGAAGGTCATTGGCGGCTGAGGGTGGCGATCGGTCGGTATATCATGTTACATATACGGGATAAGTTGTAAAAGGGGACATTCTCTTCTTACGTCTCGTTGGAATTAGAAGTTTTGTATAAGCGTAAATAAATTCTGTAGTTTTGATATTTAGTTTTTATTAGAAGCAGCGGCGGGATTGCACCCTTGTGCTGTGTAGTGAAAAGGGGTAATCATAGTTCTGTGTATTTGGTGTGTCACGCAATATTAGTGCTATTTGATAAAGAAAATGGGTCGACACAGATCCAGATCGTCGTCTTCATCAAATGACTCGGATTCTACGAGTTCAAGCACAGACGGAAACGAATCACGTAGTCGTGGTACCAAAAGACGTCATAAATTATACAACGAAAAAAGGTACGTGTCCCCTAAGCCATCCACTAGTCGCGAGATAAATACACCTTCGCCCCCTCCTAGTGATAAAATCACTCGATTAGAGAACTTGGTGGAGAAATTGATAAGAAGTCGAAGTGAGACGAAAGTATATAACAGACAGTTTTTGGGAAAATCCAAATGTATACCAGAATTCGCCCCTGGAAACCCAAATCTATCCATTAACAAATGGATTCATAAGATAGAGCAATTAAGCGCGATAAATATGTGGGACGATGCAACAACGGTTTACCATATGCAGAATCGGTTAACTGGTTTGGCGAAAAAGTGGTACGAAAACTTAAAAACGTACGATTATACTTGGGTAGAATGGAAAAGGATATTAGTAAAATCATTTCCCGAACATCACGATTTTGCCACAGTTTTAAGAAAACTCGTTCAGCGCACAAAGTCGAGTAACGAATCTTGGGAGCATTATTATTTTGAAAAAATGGAACTAATAAACGCATGCGAGATTAAAGGAAAGAAAGCAGTGTCGTGCCTTATTGACGGAATTCCGGACGCGACGCTTCAGGCGGGAGCGCGAGCAGGAAGATACGAATCACCAAGTCTGCTTTATGCGGAATATCTTTCGACACTCACATCCGGAATTTCTACAATCGAAAAGGTATCACATCGTGACACCGCGAATGTCCAAAAGAACCTGACTGATTCCTCTCCCAAAAAAATGGAATTCGGTAATGAGAAAAGGGCCTCGCGCTGTTACAACTGTAAGGAAACGGGACATTTTTCTAATAAGTGCCCAAAACCGAGGTTAGAGTGCAAAAAGTGCAGGCGTTTGGGACATTCGGAAAAAGAGTGTAGACGATTTCCATTTACCGTGAAAACTCATTTGATAAGTGGAAATAAAAGCGTAGCGGAATCGTACTTTTTTGACTGCTGGGTAAACGGAAAACCTTTGCGGTCTTATGTTGATTCAGGGTGTGGCGCAGTGCTCGTTCGAGAAAAAGAAGCTCAGGAATTGTCAATGCAGTACTCAGCTTCAACGGTTAATATAATTGGATACGGTGGTTGTGAAGTGAAAGCATTGGGAAGTGCAGTGGTAAATTTAAAGGTGGACGAAGTTGAACTACCTGTCGAAGTTTTTATTGTGCCGACTCACATCCAAGACGTTCCCGTTATGGTCGGTCAAACGTTTTTAAATCATGAAAAAACTATAATGCTGGTTATGGGAAGGACCGTAAGGATTCTTGATGCAGACGCCGACAACGCTAAAGGTTTGGATTTACCCGAGCGCAAGATCCCTATGTGGGCCAAGGACCGCACCATTGTACAGGCAAGGACTAAAGTATTGGTTGCGGTTACTTCAAGAGGCGCCTACGATGGTGATGTACCTACTTGTCCAAGGAAACTTACGAGCGGTTCCTGGCAGAGAGCACCTCTGGGATTCCTGCATTGCATAACGAACGGCAACGATGGGTACGTAACGATAAACAACTTATCTCAACACGATATTGAGGTAAGTCCCAAAAATATTTTAGTTAGATGTGTTCCTTGTTTTGAAGATGTTACATCTCTGTTAGATATACCTGTTTTGGGTACGTCGGTTCACAATAGTCACAACTATACCGAAAATGATTTACAATAATATCAAAAACAGATGTGTTGAAAATGTCAATTAAATTGGACGATGACAGTTTTGTTATTTGTCGTCCCTATAGGCTCTCATTCGATGAACGAAAAGTCGTGAGAGAGGTTTTCTGATTTGCAAAAGGAAAATTATTCCGGGTGAATATCCTAGGGCAATATAATAAGCCCCGAGAGCAATTTGTCTTTTGTCGAATAATACGGATGGAAAGCTTCTGGGCAAAAGAGGATTCAAGAAACCGATCATGCGTATTCGTTCTCCTAAGTTATCCTCCCCATGTCGGCTTCATCTTTGAAAACTTTTGACATTTTTAGAACCTGAATTCTAGGAATTTCCTTTTGAATTCGATGGCAGAATTGGAAATATCATAAAGTATACAACTTTAGTGTTTTTATAAACTTGAGACTTATAGGACTTTTTAAATTTTAGAGACTTTTAATACTCGTTGCCACGATGCAATAGATTGCGCAGTTACTAATCTTGCATCGCAATGCACGGTTTTTGCTTACTGCAAGTTGACTTCTACCACCTCAATCTACTCACTCGCGTTCAGAATGCTAGAGATGATAACTTTATCACGTGAACTTTGATAATAGCAGAAACTCGTCAAAAGGAATTCAACAAATATTTGAGAACAATGGATTAGAAGTCTTTTTCGGTGTGAACGTGAGTAAGGTTTCTTTGTGCTTTTGTTCGCACAATGCATGTCGTCTAGTTATAAAACAGGTCGCAGATAGCGTTCACCCAACCATCCTACGTTAAAGCTAAAAAGAGAAACCAAGAGAACTCGTTGACAATGCTTAATTCCACACACAGTGTTCGGTCTACGGGTAATCACTGAGGCAATTTCTTCCTCTATGAATTACTGAGATAAACATCAGATTCACTGCATAAGAACGATCCTCGAGATTGTTTTGGCTGTATTTTTTTGCCCTGATACGACCGTACGAAACTGAAAAATAATGGCAAACACTCTTAAGAACATGTGTATAGATCAATCTTTCAAGAGCGATCGGATGTTTCTACCAACAAAACGTTATCGGGTCACGCGGACGACAGACAGACAGCAATACAAAATTACAAACATCTCGAGTATGGTTAATACTAATCCGTAACGTTAATCAAATAATAAAATAATTGTTGACACCTGCATCTCGATTTAGTGACAAATTAAAGTTTTCAATTTGTTAAGTAAACCTGCGGGATGATTCCCGAAGAAACCAAACTTACTTCGTTTCATCTGAATTTCTACTTCAGTATTTGTTTTTCCTTTCAGACATTTTCTAAATGTTTAATTTTTTTGTTTAAATTTTATCGCTTTGTATTTGTACAATTTGGATAAGATGCACCGACACATCTGGTCGAGATTGTGTACTTTGAGAAAGTTTTATTTATTCTTTTGCGATAAGGAGTGTTTATCAGGCGAAACTTATTTAACGCACGTGTTTTATCGCTGTTAAGAGATACGGTGCTACGAAGAATTAGGCGTTACATGTGAAGAAATGGGGATGTTTGTCGTGGCTCGCGTTTATCTAATTTAATTGTGGTTGAGAGATAATTTGAAATTTCAGGAAGGAGTTCGTTTTATTTTTAAGTGATGTTTCATTAAATACGGGATTGAGCGAAAAACGAGGCTGCTGGTTTCGCAACGGTTGAAGAGCGTGTACATCTTTTTACGCTAATTTTCAGGCAGTCGGCCCTATTTGTTTAGTTGAAGATACAGTTCATTACATAATAGATTTGTGCAGAAGCAAGTTAAACAAGGTTGTGTGAGAAGTTTAACGCGTGTTGTTCGAGCATGGAAAAAGTTTCGCACACAGTTGTGGTGTACAGCGAGACATTTATTTTGTTCAGATTCTCTACATATTAAAAGTTTCTATCGTCCGAACGTCATCTCATTCATGTTTGTCATCTAATTCTGTGTTATAAAGCAAAGTGAAATTAAGAATCTGTGAGCGTTTGTGTGTGGAGTTAAGTGGGCCTAGTATGGCAAACTTTTTTCGACCAGATTATTTGGATTATTAAGAAAAAAACTGTAAATAATTTAAGATTTTTTAAATTCTTAATTGTCGACCGCCTGATTGTAAGCCTTTCGTTTTTACAGGGATTTTGTTTGGGAATAAATTTTTGTCATTGTGAATCAATTAATGGTGTGCTTATTCGAATCCAAAGTGCGGCCCAAATAAAGTTTTCATGTCAGATTTTTCTATTCATGGCCAAGATTTATTTCAACTCTAAGCTTCAATTTTGACTTGTTTTAAACTAGTTAGACAGGCTTTGTGGGTTACGTAGTGACCGCTAGCCATTGCCCACAACAGTACTTTGGCGCAATCCATTGACTTTTATATTATCTAACACTTTTTTTTGTAAAACCCAAATAATCCTAATGACGGTTTTTGTTTGCAAGACAACCCAAAGACAAGATTGATTATAAAATTGCCAAAAGTCAGAAGGAAAATGAATATAATGGGGAACGCGTTTATAGGCCGTAAAAGAAAGGTGATACGAAGTAAAAGAGGCACGAAGAAATTGTGGAAAGGTGAGTGAAAGAAGAAGGCGCGAGCGGATGGTCTAGAGTGGAAGAAGGTTAATTAAAAAGTTTCAAAGAAAGCGCGATTGATGACTGAAAATAATAAAACCCGTAAGTAGACAAGGAAGGTGTCAATAAGAAGTTAAACATTTAATGAAGACGAAATAAAGGAAACGTTAAAGAGCTGCGTAAAATGAATTTACCTCTTTGAAACCGAGCTTGATTTTCCAAATTAAACTGGAACACACGTGGCATGAAAAATGCATGAAATTCAATTCTTGGACGTCGAGCTAAGCCTTGAAACGTTTTCTCGGCCAAATTTAGGACATGCTACAATTTTGACACCTTTTTCGAGTTTCCAATATTTGATTTATTATGTGGACGGTGACTTTAGAATGAAAACGTGCTCATACATCGTAGGCCATTAGTGCGAGTTTGAGAAAAATAATTTAAACGGTGCTCTTTACTGTGAATTTTTAAGTACCGACTCAACCTTTTGCCCTTCCTCAAAATGTTTCGGTGCGCATCGTAGAAAAAATGTGATCTCAGCACGATGGTGCCCCATAGCATTTTCCTATAAACGGTAAAGAATGACTTGAATCAACCATTTTTGAGAGGTGGATAGGTCAAGGAGGCGCTATTAATTGACCAGCGCGTGTTTTAGACCTTACAACACTAGAATTCTTCTTATGGGGTTGCGTGAAAGGAATTGTACCTACCTACACAAAGAAGTCCTAACAAACGAAAATATGAAAATGCGCATACGTAATGCTTTTGCATCCATAATGCTAGCTACGCTTCGTCCTGTTAAAGAATGCTTTTCTAAACGCCTCAACAAATGTTTGGTACAGCGCAGAAGACATTTTGAATATTTATTAAAATAATTGTTATTTTTCTTTTATTTTGATTTAAACTTTTTATTTTGGTTTTTTGTTTTGTTGTTTTTGCCTTGTTTTGTTACCTAATGACCCACCCTGTATAGTGAGTTTGACATGCTTTTCTTGCTTCGACTTTGTCCATACACATCAAAATCGTCTAAGCTGCAGACGAAGTTTTTTCAGAATGGTCGACGAGGTCGGGGCACTTTGCCGAATGACTACAACGCCGACACGATTTTTTGATAGTCCATATCGGCCACTATATAGGGATACTACGCCGATAGTGGCCACATCGTCGAGCAACGAACACTAAGACGAACGTTGATCACACCCCACAACAAGTGGGCTCCAACGAAGAGGTGGAGGATGGAGGAAGCGTGAAGAAATAAAAAGTCGTGATTAAGGAGGGGCAAAGAGGGGATGTAAACCGTGAACCATGCGTGAATGAGGCGTGCAAAAAGGACACCAGTCGATTTACGCGTAATATAGAGTTTTGAAGTGGATGTATTTAGAACGTGAGAGATCTAAGGAACGGAACAGAAAGAGATTTAATGAAATAAAGTGAAGAGTAAAGAGCGAAAATGGGGAGCTTGAAGCGGACGTGAATAAGTGAAATCTGAAGAAAGTGTGAAGAGGGTCTGAAGTAATCATGAAGGGAAAGGCATAGGGAACTTGAATTCGTGAAGTGGACGTGAAAAACTAGTGAAACATACATAAAAGAACAAGGGTGAGAGAGGCAAGATCAAAGAAGCATCATAACTGTGAAGGAGGACGCAATGATGTGGGAAGAAAAGCAAAGGAAATATAGATGAAAAAGGAAGACGAAGAGACGAGAAAAACTCTTGATAAAAGCATTAAGGAGACGTGGAGAGTGTGGAGAGAATATAGGGAAGGACACCTATAGAACCGGCGCTGGATTTTTCAATTAAATTGTCACACACATGGCATGAAAATTCAATTCTTGAACCTCGAGCTAAGCCTTTGAAGGTTTTCTCAAGCAAATTTAGTGCACGAGTTGTCAATAAAATCCGAGATAAAATCAACCGACACCTTTGGTATTTTGATAGTGCAAATTATAATAACGCTTAATCCATTGGCCATGAATCGAAAACTAACACTGTCATAAAACCTTGGTCCATATAGAAATATCCGTGCAAATCTCTTTAGATGGGTTAGATGGGTATACCTATCAAGCATTGTAAAATATATGTATATGCATGACAGTGTTAATATACCAAGTTTAATAAATATCTTTCGATACAATATTACCTACCTAGATTTCGAATTACATTATGACAAACATGACTTTGAATCATTGCTTACCTTGTTTAATTATGTGTTGTTCCCCACATAGATTCAGAGTTACACCCAGCATAGGAATAGATAGAAGACTAATATATTGTTTTGCGTTTTCCCCTCGGTTTTCCCTTTGTCGTCAAATATTGAAATTTAACTGACTAAGGCAAAACTGTTTAAATAAATATGAATTGTTTTTGAACTTAAAACATTACAGTATTTGCCTTTTAATTTCTTTTTGTAATATTTAACAAATCTACTTTGAAGGTCTCCAGGTTTTAGTTTTGACAATATCGATGACAAGGAAGCTGAATGACAAGAAACTA